TTTATTTAGTTAACACGCAACAATGGACTTGAGCTCGTCAGCAAAAGGAGTACACTCACATACATACACAGACATTAACAACAGAAGACTAGGTTGAAGCTTTATGGCTTGGTCTCTGTTTTTACTGCTGTTTACCATACATACTTTTGATTTTTATTTCTTTTTTTTTTTTGTAATCGCAAGTATTGTGTTGCAGTTGCAAGTAACTATCACAACGCCTTAATGACATTGCTGTCTTTTCGTTAAGTATTTATACTACTATTTTCACTTGCTATTTTCGTATCGTATACTTTCTATGCAAGTGCCTGAATACTACTCGTCCCTCGTTGGTAGTTAACATAAAAGTTTCGCATTCCCTATTGTCTAACTTGAAAGTTTTCCTGCACTTATTATCGCCTTCCGCTTTGTTGTTGCAAGTCTGTTGTGTCTGCATGCCAACTACACTGTACATTCGACCCACTCAAGTGTGCAGGGTGCAAGCTGGCAAATGAGTGTTGGAGACAAGGTTGTAGTGTTTCTAAAATAAAATAAATAATTGGCCACCAAACTAAGCAACCAAAAAAACAAAAAACGGCCAGCACAGCAATGAACTATCCTTCCTTCCTTCCTTCTCGACGTCCTGTGCCCTTGCATACCCAGTGCAAGTTGAATGAGCGCAAACTAAATGGGGGATCAAGGTAAGTAATCTGTTGTGTTTTCGTGGCTTTCAAGCTCTTTTAGTCCTGCCATGTTATCCTTGCTACAATTTTGTAATTTCACTTTTACAATTTCCTTTCCTCGCAATTGCTGAAGCCTCTGTTTATTTGTCTTTGCACGCTTGTTCGACTTTTTAGTTAGGCAACAAAAGGCTTAAAGTTTATTTCATATTTTTATTTGCCCAAGCCCATTTAAATACAAACGTCTTTTGGTGCAATTTTGCCATCGCGTCAGGGCAAACAAGCATTTTTGTTTGTTTAAACTTTTTGGTGGAATATGAAGTTTAAAAAGACTGTATTTATATTTAATATATATAATTTAATACTTAAAAATTAAAAAAAAATATAAATATGCAATATGAGAGACTATATTAAGCTTTGAAAAATCTTTCGAATACCAGTGCGTATACGCAACATTTTAGTTCACTAAAAGAAAATTTCAAATATCATCATCAATTTTATCACTTTTTGAGTTGCCCGTAGCACTGGAAAAGTGAATTTTAAGTGGCTATCGATAAGGATTTTAGTAGAGAATAAAAAACAACACAAGAAATTGGTATAATTCTAAAATTTGTTAATGAGCTTATATACGTATATCTGAAATATATGGAGACTTTTTATTTTAAATATATGACGACAAGGATTGAAAATTGAAGTTTTTTATATTTCTTGAACAGTATAACTACAAAAAAAATGTTCGCTTTGTCTGAATTTACTGCAAAAGGTTTTGTAGCGAAATTTTAAATGAACCAACAGATATAGCAATACCCATTTTTTACTTATATTTCATCCAAAAACAAGCATATTTATTTTGGATATAAATTTGTTATTAATGCATTACAAAATAAAATATTTTTTGTACGCTCAAGCAAGTATATTCGACTGACTAAGAGCAAAATACCATATTTCAATTAACCGGAAATATTTACTTGCATGCCTGTGGATGTAACGGAGCCGATAAAGTTGGCAAATTGAAATTCATTACTACGTAAGTTAGAAAGTAAGTATTGTAAGTAGTTCAGGTGGAAGCGAAAATACAGAAGGGCTAAAGCTCAATTATATAGGAGGCAGACTTTTATGCCGTAACCAGTTAAGTTTCATTTTTGGCAGATATTTTGAATTCACTGTAACTTTTATATACAACAAGTAAGATCAAGCTTACGCGCTTAACAATTTAAAGCTCAACCCTGAGTATCCAGATGGGCCAAATTCAGCAGGTCAATCATAGTCTGACTAATAACCAAAATTATAGGAAATTAATTTAATAAAAATTATTATAGTTTTTTTTTTTGAATTGAGCTCGCCACTCGGCAGGAAGCGTAAAGATCTCCGAGTGCTTTTCTGGCATGAAGTAAAATACGCTCCATAAAAGTACATCGTTTTGAACGAAAAGTGGGTGTTGCCATACCGTTTTAGTCGCCATGATAGTTTCAAGTAAGCAACTTTAATAAGAATAATTTAATTTTTTGATAATTTCAGAGTTCTATTGTATTTTAATGGGTAAGCATAATGGAACCTAAGCTTTATTATTTAGTTATTTATTCCTTGTAATAATTTTATTCGGTGACCAACGTTATCATCGCTTGTATTGGCATCCCTGGGTGGGTAGGCTCTATTTCCTTAAATTAATTTAAGTATTCATAAAGCAAAATTTAGTATATAAAGTACAAAACTATATTCTCTATATTAATCTCAGTTATATGTTATTTTAATATGATTCCTCGTCTGACAAACGTATATTACCGCTATCTTCATTTGGGCTAAAATTATTATTGCTTTAGCCCTACCAGTCAGGCTTCTATATAGCTTCCGCGTCCTAATCACAGCATTTTCAGTGGCGTTCAGTGACAGAAACTAAACATCTGAAGTGTATGCACTTGGCTCTATAAATACCCTTTACCCTACGGCCAGAACATATAATGCCTCAGTTGACTTATATGCACAAAAGCTAATAGCCGACTGGACGGATAACATTCTCTCTCGATTTCAGTACAGTTGTGGAAAAAATTTCATATCCGCAATGCATCCGTATAATATTTCCTAGATTAATACAATAGCCGACACTCCTTCTGCGTTTATAAGTTTTCTAGATTTTCCAAGATTATCATACCTTAAAATGAGTCGGCCCAGAAAGAGATCGGGCTCGTCAGTTCAGGAAACCTCAACACCATAAGCTTAAGAACTCCTTTTATCACTGTTATACACTAGATGAAAAATTAAGAGTCATATTGGTTTAAAAGATTAAAAAATAAACAAAGTTGGGTTCAAAAATTTAGTTTTAATTTGATTTGAGTTTGATTTGAATTTTTCAGAAAACCGTTTTTTTAAGCGAAAATCTTTTTCTTTTCATTGACAAAATAAGAAGCTTATTCGAATTAATTACTGTATTACTGAAAACAATAAAAATTAGAGAAATACTTCCATAAATCCGAAAAAAATCAAAAAAAAAATTTCAAAAAAAAAAAAAAATTTTTTTTGTCGCTATGACATATTTGATATTCATCAAAGAGTAGAAAAGTTAATGACGACTAAAATTTTTTTTCTAAATTATATGGCACACCGTTTTTAAAAATATTTAGCAGAAAAATTAATTGGAAATTATATTTTTTTTAAAAATTGTATAAGAAACCTAAAATGCTTAAAAATATTAATTACTGAAATTATGGGCGAGAGTTAATCTTAAATTTTTTTAGAGGCTAATATTGTGGCCCTTAAAATAACGGAAACATAGATCAATCGCTTTAAAGGATCTTGTTCTTGATGTCTATAAAATTTTATTCTCTTCGAAAATTGTGTTTTATTGGTACGAAATGCTCTGAAATGGTAGGCCCAATACCTTTTTGATGCTGAATTTTCATTCTTATCATACTATGGACTCTTCCAGATTTTTTTTAGAAAAACCGGTTTCCTTCGAAAATACTATATTTTAAGAATAAAATGTAAAAATGGCCAGAAATTGTCTATAAATCCTTCAAAATTGTTTGAAATGACGAGCTCACTGAACAGTAATGCTTTTGAGATGCTCACTTCGGTGCTGCCAAGCAACACATTTCCAAAAAAAAAAAAATATTCTTTATATATATTTTTTGCATTTTATAAAATGAAACTGATTCAACTTTTTTCAAAAAGCGATAAAAAGTTTGGTGGTTCACATTTGTAAATAAAAAAAAGAGCAGCATTTCATCATAAATATTAATGTATTAAAAACTCAAGCGTTAAAATATTCCCAACAAACGACCCAGAAGTACTTCAAAATCCCAAACGAAGAGCGAAACGATTGAAACTACATGCCAAATGCGACTTCGCATGCAATGGGTGCAATAAAAACTTATGGTAAATGCGCCAAATGTGGTGAAATATTTACAATATAATTTAAGCAAAAAAAAAAGCAAAAAATGTCATGCGACAAAGAGTTTTCGTGGCTGGCGAGCCATAAAAGTGACACTCGTGCGACCCAGCAGGTAGCCGGAGTCAATGCCAAGCCAAACAAATGCTGCCAACTTAAACGATAAACCTAACAAATTTTCTTCTTATTTACAACATGTAATGTACAACAACAACACATGCAACAAAAAATTAATTTAAAAAAGCACAAAAAAGTACTTGATATAAAAATAGTTTAAGCGTGTTGCCACTTGTAAATGTCAAGCAACAACAAATGAAAAGGGCAAATTGCATGCAGTGACGACAAGCAACAACAACAGCCAGCTAGTACAACTACAAAAAGCCAATATATGTATGTAATAACAAAACACGATAAAAAGTGATAAAGCATTGAAAAGTTACCACATAAAAAAATACAAAAAAAAAAATAAAATTAAAAAAACGAACAAACAAAAACTTGAAAAAATAAATAAATGAAATACACGACAAGTGGCGTTCAGCGAGCAGGTGTACGAGTAGTTACGGCTAAGGATCAGAGGTGTTGAGTGGCAACATGCGCATATATAAATATGTACCTACTTAAATACGACTAACCACAAGAGCCAGAAGTTTCATTTCAACTTGAGCCAATTTCGTCAATAAAACATTTTCAGCAAAAAAAAAAAATTAGCCAATAAATATTTTTACTACAACAAATTTGTGCTATTTTAATACAAAATTTTCAACTATGCACACAAGCACAAATAAACTCCAACACATTTACATATTTTCGGACAAAAACCAACATTTTTATGATTTTACTAAAAATTCATTACAACAATTTCAATGTTTTTTTTTTTTTGCATTTGACATTCAAATGATTGCTAAAATAGCATACAAACACATACACATACACATTTAATAAGCGTCTAATTTACATACCTGTCATCTGTCGGCTTATATGTCACAATATATTTTTCAATTGGATGCGCATTCAAATCGATCATCGTTTGCCAGGAAACGCGCACCGTTGTTGGCGTTAGGAAGGTGACGGTGATGTTTTCGGGTGTGGCGGGTATGGTGCCTGCAGAATTGGTTGAGAAAGTAAAAGAAATGGAAAAAACACAAACCAATACAATTGTTATTTCAAGTCATACTTTAATAGAGAAAATTATATAAGTTAAATTAATCATTGAGCCGCAAATAGAAATACAAATATCAAAACAGACACTGCAGTCAATTATTTAACTGGTGATTAGAATAGATAAACTTGTTTGGTACTAGAATTTTCTGACTACATTCGTAATAGCTCGAAACGGGCCAATTTGGGGTCTAAGAGATTACAAAATATTTTCCAAAACCTTTTTTAAAAAAACACTTTTCTTACGAAATTTTTATTATAACATTAACAACCTAATATTTATTATCTTCTAGTCATAAAAATATGTAAAATATTTAAATAATTTTATTTTGCAATTAATGGGTAGTGAGAAGTCTCCGAGGTTTATGCGCTTAAATGGTGTTGATACTCGTACATCGGGTGAAATTTTGCTATGTGAAAGTTTTTTTTCACTATAGAAAGGTAAAAGCGGCGCAAACACGAGCCGCAAAATTTATGCGGCTTACGGTGGGAATGTTGTAAGCGAACGTTGTACTAACAACCGGTTGGCTCGATTATTTTCGGGATTTTGGGTGTCAAAGCACCGTCTAGCTTCGGTCGTATTCTTCATCTTAATTAGCCTGTGTTCCGCTTACGTGATGATAACCGAAGCATCATGCGCTGATTGGTGCCAATTGGAAACATCAAGGGAAACTAGGTCGCTCTACACCGGAGAGAGAGAAGTCTTCCTCTTCATCTGCTTCCACCAGCGGATACTGCATGAAATACTTTGAGAGCGCGAGTGCTTCCTTTCATCCGGAAGGCATCCCCTAGGCAGTGTAGCTACAGTCTCTTAATTCACTGAACTGAATGTCGATGCTACCATATATCTCATAAATCTCACCGTTGCATTATCTGCGGTATTCGTTATTACCACTGCGCAAAGGATACGAAATCTTCGTCGGATTTCGATATCATTCACACTTCTATGCCATATAGCAGAACGGAAATGATGAGATCGGCTAGGCAGTAAAGAAGCCAAAGAAATTGTGTTATTGTTTGAAGCAAGATCGCAATGCTAGCACTAAGGAAGTAGACAGGACATTAACACTTGAAGTAGGACAATTATTCATCAGCCAAATCATTCTTCAAATACAAGAACAGAGATAACGAGATCCGCATGATATAGTGAATGCTTAAAAATATTCCAACCAAGCTCTCGGAGCTCTTGGTGAGTCACTATCTATGGTCTGGTCTTGTTCTGATAAAACACATTCTAAGCGTATGCGCGCTTCTGAGAAATTTTCTTCCTTCAGACGGGCCAACTGCTGACAGCACAAGTCTAAACTTAAAAGTAAGGGCGTAGAGAAGCAGTGGATTATTCTTTGCCAATCCAACCAAACTCACTACAAAACTTTCCTTGCTCAGAGACCTTTTGTTCTAGCTCACTGCTCTTCCTCTACGACTGTTGTCGTTTGACGTTGCCGTAAGTTATCCACTTTTCTCCACCAGTTACCACACACTTTCGAGCTGGGTCGGCTTTGATACGCTCAGTAGCGGTTCGCAGATGGAAATTCGGTTTATGAGTTTTTTTTTTTTGTTACTCAATGGCATCCCACCATCGAGCTTCTTGGGGTATGCAGCCTTTTTCACGTCATTCCAAATTTTTCTATGCGTTTTTTCGCTGCTGAGCAATCGAAGCTGTGCTGACATGATGGTCAGACTCGACGATTTACATTATTTTATTGACATTTTCGCTAGATGAGCTTCCACACCGTTGTGCGTCTTTCAAATCAAAATTACCGGAACGGTATCTTCGAAACCTAAATTGGACATAATTCGCCTTTGTCGAAAATAAAATGTAGAATAAAGCGTATTTTCTCATTGCTGGTGTCCAACTCTGACACTCAAAGACACTCAAACACTACTGAGTTTAGCACCATCTAGCGCCATATCTTGCAAGAATATTGGGTTGCTCTTGACCAGACCTCATATATATTTATGATGGCCAGAGAAATATTGACGGAGAGAGATTGGGGTTGTTTGATCTACCATATAGGCTGGATCTTGCACCATCCCCCTCCTTTTTACTTCGAGTTCTGAAAAACTTTTTTGACAATTAAATATTGATTGGTCGGAAATCGCTGAAAATCATATGGCCTCGTTATTTTCCGATAAAGTACAGCACCTCCACACTGATGGAATTGTAAAGCTATGCCAAAAATAGCAAAAAGTCGTAGTAAATAACAGTCGATGTGTCCTTGATTAAAATAAAATTCCATTAAAGAAAATTTTTTTTGGAAAATATAAAATAGTAAAGCTGCGGAAACATAGAACCAGCAGATATTAACTTCTAGGGTAATTTTCACCAGCCCAAGGCGACAAAATGGACAAGGTGCTTATCAAATTCTAAAAGAATCATGTTTTTATTTAGTTTTTGAATTAAACAAGCAAATCAAAGTTTTTTCCATTTTGGACTAGTATGAGACTACAGTATATTTGTATAAAATCTGGCAACAGTCATATGCTTTTTATGCAATATTTAGCAAAAATCAGTACAAAATTGAACTAGAATTTCTTTGACTGTTTGTAACTAGCACAAGACCAGTATATATCTGATAAAGATCAGAGTTGCAAAAATATTAGTTACTCAGAGGGAGATTGAATATGCTTTTAATACCACTTTCAAAGCAGGTTTACATCAGTTCTTTGACCACATGATAGCATATGCACATACCTACGAATATACATAGCCAAAAAAACACTCTTTACTCGCTGCTATCTAAGTGTGAGCATAAAAATAAAGCTAAACGCGCTTACTGGAAAATATAAATAGGAAAATAAAATTACTTATGCGTGTATATTTATAAGTACATACATATGTATCTATCTATCTTTACATTTTACGCCAAAGTGGGTCATGGCTGCAACATTGGTGACCACAGTTCGTCAAATAATGTACGCCATTTGTGACAGAATGAAGCGCGTACATATGTACGCACAGACAGACATACATATATTCGTCACGAGTATATGCTTGTCTAACGAAACAAAACCAATGAAGTTGTAAATAAGTAAAATAGAATAAATGTTAAAGTTAACGCGCCAATGGTAGCTAAATGGCTACTTACATGCTTGCGAGGACAAGTATTGTATGTACTTGTACATATATTTGTATATGATACATACCAGCATATATATAGAAATATGCTATCTGTTTACACAACGAAACGCAGCGACCAAAAGAACAAGCAAATCAAGGCAGAGAGAAGACAATTCAGGACAACGCCAATTGTGTACGCTGCGTATTCTAACCTACCACTGTGCATGACAAAATTGACATAGAAATTGACGCTTGAAAAGTTAAATCGATGGTTGAAATCAATGCATAACCGCAGGATAAACGGTTGAATGGAGTATTTACTAGCAGGGGGTGTCTGGGCAAGTTTTGCAAGGTTTGCATTTTGTAAGAATTATGTAATGAAAGGGTTATTTTTTGCTTATGAAATATGTATACGTAAATATATATATATATATACATATATATTGTATAAGCTTCCTGTAGAGAAAAAAGAATTTTTGATTTGAGGCCTCCGGTGTTTAGGGCACCTACATTTTCCCATCCACTTTTTGGACCATGAAAATGTCATCGAAGTTTGCTTGTTTGCTTTCAACTTCGAACACCAACTTTGTCACCTATTTGATTTCAAGAGAAAAGTGCGTCCATCTAGATATAATTGGCGCTTTGTAACCGCTGTTGTGATTTTCGGCCGAGCTCCTCCTCCAATTTGTGGTATTGCGTCTTGATGTTTTCCAAGAAATGAAGGGACCTACAGTATATACTAAGCCGCCTCCGAACGGATGATGGTTTTTTATGAGGAGATTTTTTTCATATCCGAAATATACTCGGGGGGTTGACATTCCCTGCCGAGGGGCGACCGCAAAAAGAATATTTAACTTAATTTCTTATTTAAATTAAAAAGTTTTTATTATTATTAATGCTTTTTATCCAGTGCATTATTTTGCTTATAACGAGATCTCTTGAACTTCTTGAACTGATAATGGAGTCAATTCAAAAGGTGTTCCAAGGTACTTTTGATGCCGATCCCAACTTGTCACTATCACACAAAGTGTCATAACAAACGGAGAAAGTAAGAACGAAAGCTGTCAATAAAGTGTACAATGGAGTCCTACAGCAGAGATTGTTCACCAGGTAGAACTTCAAATGACATTTCTACACTGAATTTCGGTGTAAAGAGACGATTGTCGCAAGTATTAGTTACCACAATTCAAACAGAAGTATACCAGTATCATACCATTTCAAATTGGACCAAAAAAGTTCTACTTAATTTTAATACAACATTTTAAAAATGATTTTCCAACTCGAGGTTTCCATTCTTCGTCCTTTTTTTTTTTTGTAACTGGGCATTCCACACATCATTACACCGTATTTTGCATAAAGACTAGACCCAAGTCTTATAAAGTTCATCACCTTTGCTAACTGAGTCCTTGAAATTAATGAAAATTATACAGAATTTTGCTGGAAAATCGTCTTGACTGATAAGCTACATCAATAAGCAAAACTGTCGCATCTGTTTCTCGGAAAACCCAATATTCGTTTGCTGGAAACCCCCCCATCCTCAACCTTGAACTGTTTGGTGCGATCTATGGTCCGGCGGGGTCATTGGACCTTACTTCTTTGAAAAAGAAGGAATTTTGGTATAGAGGGATGATTAATGGATTTTTATGATCGGAATAGAGGGATGATTAGTTGTTTTCTATGGTCCGGCGGGGTCATTGGACCTTACTTCTCTGAAAAAGAAGGATATATGGTATAGAGGGATGATTAATGGATTGTTATGGTTGGAATTCGATGGTATTGATCTAGACAACGTTTACTTTGAACAAGATATAGCTACTTGCGACAAAGGAAAAGATAGTGAAAGATAAAGTTTAAGCAAACAGGTCAACGTCGTTTTAAGACC